GCTTATATTGCAGATAGCTTGAATTGCCTTTGGCTGTTGTCTCTGGCCTAATTGTCTCGACAGATCGCATATTCTTGAAATTTACTTCAATTTCTCGTTATTTGACAAGTCAGTGTTTGTGTTTCACTCACGTATCATATGAGTCACACGTAGTTTCCTAATGCTGTAAGCAAATTTCAATAAATGTCAATGGAGGATTCTTTGAAAAGTTTATTTTTGAGCATTGTTCAGTGAGTCAACGTGATATTTTGATTGCCAACGTGATAGAGTGTTTGAGCTGAGAATTATTGGAATTGTGAAATGTTTTCGTTTGAAGTTCTCATCGAGATGTGCACNTATGATGACGAGCACCCATATATCACAGTTGCCGTAAAAGAACGATGGGATATCACGGTATTTCCAAATGTTTTGTTTCCTTCTAAGCATTTCATTAAATTTTTGTCATTTTTTAGAAAATGATAACATATGATCAAATATCCATGAATCAATGAGTGTTCTTAATTTTTGATATAATAGAACGCATCACTGTATTTAGCGACTTCAGCTCTAAGTTGTAAAGCTCTAGTGTAAATCCCAGATTCAGTAGACCATAGCACTCAGATGCCTAGAAAAGTGTATCTGATATCATTCTGAGAACACTAATTAAATTTCTAAGCTTTAAATGTTGAAGCCGTAAATGTATTTCTAAGCTTTAAATGTATTTCAGAAAGTTGTCCTCTGCGCTGTATTTCTGTACGCCATAACGTCGTTATTCACTGTTATTCTGTATTATCCCATATCGTTGATATCATTAATCTTCCCAACTGTTGTTCTGGTTTATACGAAAATAGCACTGAAGGGTGATCAGCGGCGAAATCTCTGGTTTTGCATCTTTGCTGGCGTAAGTGATATGTTTTTGGATTGTATGTGTTTTTTTTGGAAAACAGATACAGATCCAGCTTCAAATATCAATTTTTTGCTTGGAATTTGATATAAATCTTTCAACTTCAAGCTCATTAAACATTGAAATGCACAAAGTTCGAATGCAGAAAGCAATTATTGTTTCTAATTGTCGTTCTAAGTGCGTGCGATTTTTTGAAATTGATCTGTGAGAACAAGGTGCAGAATCATCAAAGTGCACAGTTGAATCAAATTTGTTTACTGAAATTTGCCTGAAATACTGAAGTTTGGTTGTTTTTTTGTGTTTAAAAACCAGAACATAATCAGTCTTGCTTTGTTGATTGATATTATATCATTGCGATAAGCCGTTAGAATTCGGTGATGTGTATCAATTTTTCGTAGATTTGCAAATCAACATGAATGAAAAGTTCATTGAATTCATTCAGTCTATTCAATTTATTCATTTACAATACGTACAAAGTGAGTTCAACTTGAGATAATAGCATACACTCCCAGAGACCAGAATGTGTGGCATTGCATGTCTTTTACAAGGCGAATGCACCTATAAATGTAAATCAATTTCAGTTCGCTGGTTTTGCACTGAAAATTTCGGCAATAATTGTTTTCGTCATAATGTTCCCGATTGGCAAAGAAGAACCGTCCAGATTCCGTGGTTCATCATCACTGAGGAAACTCATCAGTGTAACAGGTTAGCTGGCAACAGATTGCCAACCTAGAACTTGACTTGGTTCAATCATTTGATTCTTTTATTTGTTTGATTCAACAAGTTCGGACGGATTGATTGATCATCGTTACATTGGTGGATGCACGAGGAAACTCGGAAAAAGTACCACAAGCGATGAGACATCAGCTAAACTTTCGCTGCTCACTTGCTTTGCTCTATGCACAAATATTATTCACCGACGAAATTTGCTTACGATTTCGTTTACAATTACTTGAAGTATGCTGAA